TTGAGTTGCCTTATTTGATTTGGCACCTAATTTTAGGGAATTGTGTGTAACGCGCTGGCATTTTGCCTAGCAACATGGAGCATAGAAAAGGAAGGACCTCTCTACGTCTCGATGTTCAGTCCTTTGTCTTTGGTGATCGGGGCGATCCTAAATTTTGCACTGCTACATGAAAAATTATTCATTGGAACGTAAGTATATAATATATATATTGATTGATTCAACCATATCTTTAGCTTTTATCAAATATATATGACTAAATTATATATGCATCGATTCAGTCTTGCAGGATCTGTTCTGATCGTTGCTGGACTTTACACTGTCCTTTGGGGAAAAGATAGAGAGATTAAACATATGAAATCCACGGATGTTGGAATCGAAACAAAGCAAGACGATCAGAAGGGTGACTCGGAACGCCAGGTTAAGAAGACTAATGATCATCCTACTAAGGTCGAAGAAAAGCTCGATGTGTCGTCTTAAAGTAGATTTTTTTAAAGCGTTTGTAGCAAGAAGAAAGCTGACACTGTTTTTCCTTCTAGGGGAGGCAGTAGATGTTTATTAATGTGTAATTGGCTTGCAGTAAATTTAGGATACTAAAATAATAAAATTGAGTAAAAAATATACCCAATAATGTGATTAAAGAAGCCATGGAGTTTGTATGCAATTCGGAAGTGTTGTGCTCTATCAATAACGTACTACAAAACACCCCCATCTTGTTATACATATGGCTCCATTTAATCTTATAACCATGAACCATTTCTTTCTTTTGAATGTAGCCATATGGTTCACCCATTAAATCGAATAATTGAATTTCAATGAATAGAAATCGAATCGTATCCACACATTAAGTAGGTAAGAAGTTTCAAAGAAAAAAAAAATGCATAACAATTAAAATTTAGTAAATGATAAGAAGATAGTTGCGAGTAGTGGATGCGATGGCAAAAAATAAATAGTAGATAATACATAATAAATTTTAATTGATATAATTATTTAATTATATAATAATGAATAGTTCTCCTTTTACCTTAATCTCTCTTCACTATTTTAAAATTCAAATTCAAGATTTTTAATTTAAAATTTATCTTAAAATAATAATTATTTTTTTCTTATTTTAAGAAAAAAAATTTTAGACTTGACGGTACTAGTCTTTGTTAACTTTCTTCGAGGTTACCCATCTCTCTACATAATTCAATACACTAGCTGCCAAGGGTCAAGGGTCAAAATACGCCAGCGCTGCGCTATCGGTGCTTAAGGGTCAAAAAGGCCACAAGCTCATTGGAAAATTTAATCAAATAATTTTATAACAAATAAATAATAATTAAAAAAAATTTATATGTATGCTAATTTTTTTTGAAAATTTTTTTTAATATTATTCACCGAAATTACCTAGCAAGCAGGATCTAAAAATCTCCCTAGTGATCCAGTCACAGCCCTTGATAAACTGATAATATGCATTAAATACTTTATCTCATGTTAAGACTCAAGTACTCATTAAAACATGTATAATATTTCTTCTTTTCCAAAATTCTCCCTTGTTCCAAAAGAAAGAAAACCTCTCCAGTTACCATGGTTCCTAGCACTGTGGGAGAGAGAACAATTGCTCGTACCATTGTGTGGTTTTTATCATATCTATTAGCCTCTTCTTACCTAGTTGGACAGATAAGATGGTAAGCGTTTTGAAGGGATAGGAGATGGCAAGGAAGGTACGGAGTTTTGTTGATGGTGGTGTGCTGGACAAATTGGTGAGGGCGTGATGGTGGATGGGGTTACTACAACTGTGTTGGGTCAAGGTGGCAAGGTGGAACTTCAGCAGATTGGGGTGTGGCCATCAGCTCTTGATTGCTGGTGGTGTGGGTGGCGCTGGTTGGTTGTAGAAGGTTGAGGGAGGCGCTATGTTGAGTTGTTTGTTACTTTGGTGTTTGACGGGGCGATACTGTTATATTCCCCTTCTTTATCAATTCAATAATTTATATAAAATAGATGAATTAGGATCACTTTAAAAAAAATATGAGTACATTTTTCAATCACTAAGTCATATAAAAAAATTTTAAAAAAAATTAGTTTTAACATCAATATCATATGTGTTAATTTAATTAATTAATTATAATTAAAATCAAACTATATAAATAATAATTAAAAAATACATT